CTTTATGAAAGTGCGGCCATTTTTATTTTTAATTTTCACATGGATGTTAAGGGTCTTTGTGCAAATATTAAGATTATATCTCAAATAGTTTATCAGATAAACTAAGTTTAAAATTTAATTCATATCGGAGGTGCCAAGTTCTCCCATTTTATATCCCAAACATTCATGTTGATACTAAAGTGCCTCCGAAAAAATTCGGACTGTTGTATTTCCTCAGATATATCAATTTAAGGTATATTTTTTTGATATTTTCCACGCCCACTGTAGCTAGGCTGTCCATTTTATTTCCAAGTATTCATATGGATGTCGAAGTTGTTTATACCAAATTTTGGAACTCTAGATCTTGCAATTTCTGTGATATTTTTAATACTTATTTTGTATGTGGGCGTGGCAAGTCGCCCACTTGAAATTTTGAAGTAAAAAGTAGCCTATAGATCCTTCCAGACATAGAGAAACCAACTGTGAAAATTTTAAATAAATTGGTCTAGCTGTTTATCTGTCTATAAAGTCCAAATAAACAAACAAACATACCAACATACAAACACATATTCAATTCGATGTGTTTTGTATTTTATTTAAATACTAGCATACCTTGGATGCTTTGCTACCTAACCAAAATTAAATACATATAAAATTTTATTTACTTTTATAGATAACTAGCATACTCTAACTTAAATTAAATACATTCAAAATTTTGTTTACTTTTATAGAAAATTAAAATTGATTAAAAATTTTTTTAATGTTTCAGTTTTATACGTTCAATATCACATTATTAAATTCGCATTCAGTAAGAAGCTTGTATTTTTAGTTTCATTCATTTAGCTTCCACATTATAGAAAATTTTGAAAGTAATATTTGAAAAAAAGTACCATAAAATACCTCTAATAGATCATCATTTAATAAAAAATTTCATGTTTCTGTGTTCAATATTATATAGAATTCAAAAAATATAATTTGATGAATGAAAAAGTACCAAAAGTCCCTTTCAGTAGATACTCATTCACTAAGGTCCCTTCATTTTAAATTTTGTTTTCAATATCTATGTTCAATATCGTAAAAATATCAAAAAGTACCATCGGAAAAACGAAAAAGTACAAATCTCTCTCAATAAATTCTCATTTAATAAGGACGGTGTGTTCCGGTTAACCATTATAAAGAATCTAAAAGGTACCATTTGAAGAATAGAAAAGTACCAAATAGTTCCCACTTACAGAATATTATTCAATCAAGACCATGTATGTTAAAATTAATGTTCCTAGGTTGAATATTTTAGAAAATTAAAAAAGTACAATTTATGAGATGAAAAGTACTAAAAAGTTGTCTCTTAAAGAATCTTATTCAATGAGGACCGTGTATGTTTAATAATCATGTGTTTTGAGTTCATATTAAAGAACATACATGGAGTATCATTTGAAGGAAGAAAAAGTACCAAAAGTGGAATAAATTTTACCTAAGTCGAAAGTACTAATAAAAAGAGTACAATGTTTCTCCTTTTCGCTTAGAAATATACTTTTTCGAGAATTAGGTATACAAAATGTTCCGTATTTAAATCTATCTGATCTGCATTCATTTGTTCCAAAAATGTTCTTTCAAAAAGTACCAAACAATTTACTCGAATTCCAAAATAATATACCAATAGCTTATTTTGTGTGAGTAAATACACTGCTTTTTGAAATTTTATAAAAATTGAGTCAATGAGTTTGAATAAAATTAAATTTCCCGTTTTTTCCCTTTTTGGTACTTTTTTCCCCAGTGAATTAGCAAACATTTTGTTTCAATAAATATTACAGAGTTCGTTCGTAATTTAAAAGGAATACTCCAATAAATCAAAAAAGTTCTCTTAATGTGCTAAAAAAAAGTACCAAAAATACAGTTTTCTACCTTTCACACCCAAAAAGGACTGAATTTTAAAAAAGTACGAAGCAGTTGTCTTTTGTTACGCTTGCTTTTTTAATAGCGGTTTGTATGTTGTTGTTTACATTATTTTGCAATGTTTTGGTAGTGTGCATAGGTGTCTATAAAATCAAATAAACTTCGATGTAGGTTGAATTTTGAAAAACGGAAAAAACCGTTTCCGTGGGTTTTATTGGGGATTATTATGTATTAATTTAAAGGAATTATATTAAATTTATCTGTGTTAAAATGCAAAAAATCTAAAAATTTCCCGAAAAATTAGAAAATTTCGACTACATTTGCTCTTACGCAAAAATTTCTGATATGAAATTTAAACCGTCTCTCAAGGACCTTTCTAATGATACCAATATTTCATATCTTTCTTTTGGAAGAAATATGAAAAAAATCATAAAACCCCCCCCAAAAAAAGAACTGTTTATCCCTTGATTCAGCTCAACAAATATTGACGCTAGGACAATAATTTTGAGAAACGGTATCTTAGAATCAATTAAACTTCAATTTTAGTTTGGAACATTGACACCTTATTTTTCCTCCATACAAACGGGGCCACCCTAATATATATAGATTTCTATAAATTAGGTTTGTTAACATATTTTTATTATATATCTATATGTTATTAATATATACTTATTTTTATGTGTGAAATGTTTTCCATTCAAAATTAATCATACGTCTGTTGTACAACTATAATAGTAACCAAAACATTTTTGAGAAACAGTGCATTAGTTTCCTATAAATATTTTTTTACAATTAAATTAACATTTTAAATATTAGATGCATTGGAAATTTATTGTTGTCATGGAAATTACTTACCACTCAAAAGCAGCGCTATTAAATATCAAAATAGTTCAGTTGGCAGTTTTCTCTGATTATTTTGATTAGTCCATTATATAAATCATTATAACTTACTAATTTTCTAACTTACTTTTTTTAATATAACTCAGCAATATATATTTCTCTAAGCTTAGTAGCCACAAAGTTTGCAATTATAAAATAATTAACTAAATACTAATTAGTTAATTTGCTACTCTCTATATTAAATAGGGGGAAAAACTTCGAGTTTTTGTGCAAAAGTAAACTAACAAAAACAATTGCAGAAAATTTTACAATATAGGTAAAGAAAATTCGTGTAAAAATTACGAAAAGAAAAAAAAAACATTAAAATCTTAAAAGTTTTTTCTTTAATTTTAAATCTTGACCCATTTAAAACAATTAAGATATTTGAGTAAAGGAATACTTCTCGCTCTCTCTCTCTCTCTTCATTTTCTGTTGCTTAAAACAGAGAATCATTAAGAAGACTCTCAAAGAAATTAACAAACAATTCGTAAAGAAGAGCACTCGATATAAGGAGTGTGGAGAGTTGTATTTGGATAAAGATTTTTGTTTTGAATGTTAACAAAAGGTAAAAGATTTAAAGAAAAGTTTTAAACAGATACTCATACATACGCACATATGTAGATATTTCTATGTAAAAACATTCTCTATAATAGCCTCCCTTCCATAGGGAATTAAAATTTTTTAAAGTTTTGAAAATTTTTAATATTAAATAAATTAAATACAAACATTTCCTTGTTTATTTTGCATTTTGTTTTGAATTTTATTTGCCGAAGACAAATAGAATCATAAAATTAGTAAAAACTTTAACTAAAACTAAAACAAGATTTCTAAATAAATAGATTTAAAATTTTTCTGAGCATTTTGTTTTATATTAGTTATAAATTTGTATTACAAACTTTTAAGTGAATGCATGTCTCAAATTTAATTTACTGACACGAAATCAATCTTAAAGTTGTTATTGTAAGTTTGTTATTAGTGTTTAGATAATATATAGTTTTAAAATATCAGCGGTATTCGTTTATGTAGACAAGTAAGGTATACTCCTTGAGATTTTTATACCTTACGCCACTATTGTGGGGAGGGTATTATGCGTTTATACTGATGTTTGTTTCGATTAAGCTATGTCCGTCTGTCCGCCCGTCCGTCTATCTGTCCGTCAGTCTGTCCGTCCGTCTATCTGTCCGTCTGTGTGTCCATGTAAACCTTTTCCTCACGCTATAGGTCGCAGTTTTCAAGATAATTTGATGTTTTGACCTTGATCTTTAACGACGCCTATTGAAAATGGTTGAAATCAGTCCATTATTTTTCCTAGCCTTCATTCAACCGTACACCCCGAAAATAGCTTTTGAGCTTATAATTACGTTAAATCTTGTAGAATTTCTACAAAAATCAAATTTTAGTTTTATATAAGTTTAAAAGACACTGCCGATTTTCGTGATGAAAGGGCCTCATTTGACCTTAACCCTCACACAAAGTCCCCTTCAAAAAATGACTTAAAGGTGGAAGGTATCACATTGAAATTCTGCATAAATAACTTTAATGTCATCGTAAATATCTCTACCAAAATTTATACGGATAGGACTATATTTACCTTTGCTCCCATATAACCCCTCTTTCAGAAAATAACTTTAGTTACAAATTGTTAAAATATTTTGGAATTAAGGAAAAATGCTTTATTATTAGAAAAATAATTCCCATTTTTAACATACTCACTGGTGTAGGGTATCATATGGTCGGTCATGCTCGACTATATGTATACTATTTGTTTCTATATAGAGCTTTTTTTTTAAATTTTTTCTGGATCATTGACATGTAAACGTCATGCAAATAGCTATTATGTTTAAGAGTATACAATCGATTACTGCTTCGAAGTAGTATTTAGAAAATTCCATTTTCTACTAGTCTTTTATTTGCCATGTTTTACTATAATTCGTTCTTACCCCAACACTTTTATTCACTTGAACAAAAATCTTTTTCCATTGCGCCAAAAATAGAAGTTGCAGAAAAGTTAAAATTAATATTTTCCCCTAACAAGAGTTTTATTTACTTCTACACAAAATCTTTAGTTTTTTTTATTTCTCTGGCGTATAATTTAACTACTCAAACTAATTTAATTCTATTCGAGCGCACAAGCAAAAAAAAAAATGAAGACAAAATTTTCCTTTTGTAAATACTCAGACTAACAGAAGTTTAAAAGTTTTATTAATTTTTATCATTTTTTTCTCTATTTATTTATTTTCTGCTTTTAGTAATTACTCTGGTTCAAAAGAAACATCAACGCCTCAAACAACACAACCGCGTCCTGGCAGTGCAGCTGGTGGCAGTGCCGGTAGTCAAAGTGCAGGCATGATTGCTACCGGTTTTCAAGATTCAAATGCAAATGAAGTGCGACAACCGTTGCTGACGACAAAGAAACCAATACCACATGATCGTTTTGACGATTTGGTGAAAATTGTTTCTGATAGTCCGGGCAATTTACAGTATGGTCATGTAATTGTCGATAGCGATGATGAAGGCGGTAGTAATCCTACGTTGGGTGAAATTCTGAAAATGAAACCAAGGTATGTTAAAAATGCTTTTTTTACTTAATAAACTAAAATTTAATTTAAGAAGTGAATAGAATGTCCGTATAAAGTTTTTTTGTTACCGTTATTTTGCTTTTAAACCAAAAAGGTTTATTTATTAAATTAGTTGAAAAAATTTTACAAAAACTAGTATGCAAAATATTTTTTCGGGTAAATATAATGAATGAAAACAATTTTTTGTTTTGCTACAAATTGAAAAATAATTAATTTTTTTATTATTTTCGTAACACATGCATAAAAAAATTTGTTTGAAAAATATTAACTTTTAATGAAACATTTTTGAAGACATTTTATTTTTTTTTATTTTATGAGATATTGTATAGAAAGAAAAACATTTGTGAAATATTTTTGCAGACAGAAAAATGTCTAAAAGTTTTTAAAACTGAAAAATGTCACTTACTTGTCTCGACAGGAAAATATCTAAGAACCGTCTGCATAAAACTCTATTAATGTTTTAAAATTTTAAAAAATTTCTTTAAGTTAAAAATGTTCCAGATACTTTTAAAAAGAAAGGTCTTATGTTAAAACAGAAAAATGTATATTCTAGACAGTAAAAAGCTCTAACTTTTTCAGTTAAATATTTTCTTCTTAGTAGTATACCCGCGTTCTAAACATTATTTTTTGACTTTTTCAAAATTTCTGTTCTTTTAAAGAGTATAATCAAAGTCGTTTTTCATTAATGGTTTTATTTATTGACATGTTTGTCTCAAAATACAATTTAAAAGATATGAAAAAATAGCAAATTGAAATGAAAAACTAAACAAAAAGACGAAAAAAATCTCTAGAAATGTAAATTGAGCATAATGTCATTTTGTATTGAATGTGTTTCATTTGAAATTGAAAGAAAATCTGCATTCTACTTATAACAACGACGATATGTTTAGTGCACTTAGCAAAGACAACTCAGATGACATTCAAGATAGAGAGGGATATACTTAAAACAGACAATAACAGATAAATGTAGTATTGAAAACACATAAATACAAATGTATACATGTATGCACATACATACATATGTATATCCGGTTATACATATATACAATTGTGTACACAAAAATGAATGTTGAGATGCTATAATACTAATACATATTCAATGATGTGTTATAAAACTGTATACTTTTAAAACTAAGACAAATATATGTATGTATAATAGGGTATCCGTGTATCACTAAAACAAATTTTGTAGACCGAAAATACTTTAAATATATTTAAAACTATTTTTACCGTAATCAGCTCAAAATTAATTAATTAAAGAAGAACTTATTTTAAGAAATCATGCATTTATGTATATGAGACAGAAACCCTGCTATTACCTTGCGTATACGTAATATTTCCTGCAAGTAAATAAATAAGTATTATGTATACGCTTAGTTGTACTAATATGATAAAAGTATAAATAAGGTAAAAATAAAGCGTGTAAAATAATTAAAATTTAATATGAAATTTATAATTATTATAGTAATTTTTAAGTTAAGCTTTCATATGACGAATTTTCATATTTATCATTACAAAAAAGAGAATAATTCATAAACCTTTTATATGATATAAAAAAGGACCTTTTTATCCTATGATCCAGCTCACCAAAAATTTGAGAAATTGAGAATTATTAAATGATACGATACATACCTGTATTTTACTTAAGGATAAAACAATTTCGAAAAAATAATTATGAAGACCAGCATCGCGGACCGACTTTATATTATTTTAACTATTGACGCGTCTTTAGTATTGACAGACTATTGTCTTGATTATATTATGCTGTCAACAAAGCAGCAATTATTAGACAAAAATCTATTAAACATTTTTAAACGGTATTACATTACCAACTTTACTGAAACGACCAATAACTCTCATTCCATATACAAAGACAAACTAAGATAAATCAACTGAAAAGTTTAAAATTTTAGAAGTTTTAAATATTTTTACAGTTTTTACATTTCATGCTGTAATTTTATCTTATTTTAAAAAAAAAACATGCATTTATGTATATGAATCATATCCCTCTAAACAGAAATCCTGCGGTTACCTTGCGTATACGTAATATTTCCTGCAAGTAAATAAATAAGTGTTATGTATACGCTTAGTTGTACTAATATGATAAAAGTATAAATAAGATAAAAATAAGGCTTGTAAAATAATTAAAATTTAATATGAAATTTATAATTATCATAGTAATTTTTAAGTTAAGCTTTCATATGACGAATTTTCATATTTATCGTAACAAAAAAAGAGAATAATTCATAAACCTTTTATATGATACAAAATAAACTTTCAAGAAAGTATCTTTTTATGCTTTGATCCAGCTCACAAAAAATTTGAGAAATTGAATCTTAGAATGAACAAAATTTGTATTTTATTTAGAAAAATCAACAACTGCCATTTTGGGAACACCCTAATGTACAAGTACCCACACTGATATCTGTATCAGTTATATACAAATATACATACATATGTATATAGAAAATCATTGTAGTATAAAAAAATGGGATTATAGCCTAACAGTATGCCCCTATATTTGTATTGAAATTGTATTTATATTTGCACTTTCAAACATACTCAAGCTTACATAAGCTTTATGAACGTTTTCTTTGTGGGTGTGTGCAAACATTATTTTTTACTCCTGAAAAATGTAGGATTTTATATAAACACAATTTGTATGACACGTCAATTGAGCGTAAATTTCAATAAAGCATTAAAAGAGATTTAAACAAATTTCATTTGAAATGGTTGCTGCACTCCAAACGAGATGATTCCTAGTTGTGTGTTTGCACTAGTTTTTTTTGAAATTCCCTAACCTTTCCAAAGAAGTATGTATATAATGTGTTTTTTTTAGAAGATAAGGAAAATATGTTAGATATTCAATCGACTAACTGTTGATCGGTTAACAGATTCATTTTTGGCGACTAGATGTTTGATTGATTGTATATAGCCAAATTTCAAATAAAGACTAAACAGAATTTCTTTTTCCCAGTAAAATTTTAAATTTCACGCAAAATTCAAGTTCTACAATAAGTTGTTGCATTTAATAAGGGAAGAAAACTATAATTGTTATTTTATCTTTTATTCATTTTCTTGTTTTAAAATTGGCTCACAGTGTGCATGGGTGGCAAAATAATTTGACACAAATCTTTTTAAATTTTTGTGTTTGGTTTGTATTTGATCCCAGAATATATAAAACACATCAGCTGTATATGTATGTATTGTATATCATAGGTTTCATCATTTCTTACTTATTTCAATATAAGACAGTTGCATATAAATACGTGAACATATCATGGGTATTTTAGCAAATATCTAGTGATGGATCACTGGCATAAAAATTGTGCATAAGAAATTCTATGTTTTGAAGATACGTTCATATCTACTATCTACCAAATATTTGATGGAAAAAATCATAATTGCAAATAATGTCAATGCATATAATAATGATGTTGTGAAGTGATATCATTTGTGTAATTGAAAATATATTTAAAGTAAATCAAAAATCATTTTCATCAAATATGTGTATTTGCTAGATGTGAACACAGCGTAAGTCATGACGTGTATTACATTTTTTACAATATCATTGGAGCATGTTAAATCAGCTATTGTTGAGTACTTATTGAAGAAATTTCATCCGGCTCAATTTTACTGCTTCAGGTGATGTTGCCCATCGCTGTTATAATCCTTTATACAACTACCATGTATCTGCAAATACACTCTATGTATATCACTATATCATCTATTTTAGTTTTAAACCATTAAAAATAATAACAACAACATCACCATCAGTTGTGCTCCAGGCTAAAAATAATATATCTTTATAACGTTTTGTATAAAATTGAATATTTTTGTTGTGTATGTTACCAATATATAGAACTTTATGTATGTATATGCATTAGGGTATAACTTTCTGCAATTTTTGCGAATATCAAAATTGCCATAGCAAGTCCTTGTAGGGCGTGAATAGATCTCATTTCGTATCGATTGTAAAAAAAGGTCCCACACCAAAGCCGATGAAGTTTTGTATAAATATTTGTTCTTTAAAACCCTGTTATGGAATTTCTAATAAATCACAATAATATTGCAGATTTAGGTTATATATATAAAAACTTTTGAAATAATTTTAGTCAAAATAATGAACAAAAGCATTTAAGAAATTGCTTTCGGTGCGGGAAGTTTTTTCACCAAAATTACTTAAAAAATTGCCATTTATTATCAGGATATATATTGGCTATGGTATTTTGCCGCCCAAAAAAAGGTATAACCCTAATATACATACATATATATATATGTGTGAATTTAAATAAAATATATAGTATGCAAATGTGTGCTTGTAGTAGTGTAATCATTATAACGATACTGTTATTATTTTATTCTCAGCAGTTCTACAGAGTCAATGTACAAGTAAAATACAATCATTTCTACTAATGTCTTACCACCTAGTTGACCCTAATTTACATATTTGTCACCAATATACTCTAAGAAACCTATATCGAAGATGGTCGTTACTTTACTGTACCCTTGGTAGATGGGTGAAGGAACATTATAAATTTGAAAGAGTGAATAGACTTTCTTCTTGGTTAGGGGACAATGATCCTAATCTGCTGGGTACTAAAATCATTTTATTATGAAACCATCAAAAATATATGTATGTACATGCACAGATATAGTTGCATACATTTTACATATATACATATATTTCTTTTTACAGTATTTTATATTAGGGTGACCAATTGATTGATATTTGTTACCATACGTTTAGATTTAGATTTATTTCTGATTTTAATAAAATATTTCTCAAGTATTATTTTGGCAAACAAAGAAAACCATAAAAACTTTTTAAAATACAATCACTCTGGAAAATGTTCTTCTAAAATAAACTAAATTTGTGTGTAAACTGATGTTTGCCATATAAATTGGACAACCTTAATGTACATCAATACTATTACATACATAATCTAAATTGTTGGTTTGTGTGAAAAGCATTTTTCTCT